CGAGACCCGGCCTGGGGCACTGCGTGACACGCGCGGCGACGGGCCGACCCGCGGCCGCATCAGCCTCCCTCCCGCAGCCCCGGGCGCAGGGCGGCCCCCACAGCCCTCCGGGCGGCTCGTGCAGCTCTCGGCCCTGCAGGGCTGGGCAAGTCCTCCCGCCAGGGGCCGCGGCCCCGGCACCGCCCGCACAGCCTCGTTCAGGAGATGTCACTGTAGCCCGTTATAGGTGAAAAATCGTGAACTAAAACCCAAACATCCACCGTGACACATTTTAATTTTGCTTCAATAAATATGTTGTGTCCTGGTTTACCTTGTTCTGAGTCGTGTGTCTAGAGGAGATTGCATCATCACTCACAATAAAGTCTGACACTTGTGTATCGCGGGGGGCCAGGAGGTTGTGCATGGCAGGGGCGCAGAAACGCCCGCAGCCAGGTCCCAGGAGCTGCTGGGGAGAAGGGGGCCCATGCAGCAGAGCTCGCCCAGGCGGTACGGTGCGGTGTGGGTGCAGGTGCGGTTCACTGCCCCCCGTGGTGCTCCCTATAGAGCCAAGCTCTGCCCACTACTACTGGGGGCAGCCTGTGCTGTTCTCCTGCCTGAATTGGCCCAGGCCCCAGCCCCAGGCAGCATGCACAGCTTCTTGCCGGGGCTACTCCTGGTGTGGCAGCAGCCACCCAGGTACCACTCAGCTCCTCCCGCCTCCACTGGCTTGTCCTCCTGCCCATGCTGCACCGCTCCAGGCAGGGGGAAGCTGCAGCCGGGTGGCTCCTGCCCCAGAGCACAGGACTTCAGCTCCCAGCTGCCTTCTACCCAGTTGGTCACCCACAGGTGGCTGCTCATCGTGCTGGGCGGGAGTGAGAGCAGGAGCTGAAGCCCTGTGCAGCTTCGCCCCCACCCCGCAACCTGGCTGGGCATCTGCTGCCCAGCATGCATCCCCACAGCCACCGTCACTTCTCCATACGAACTGCCCAATACTAACTCACTTCCCCATACTAACAGGGGCAGGAGGAGGTGGAAGAGGAGCCAGTGGAGGTGGGGAGAACTGGATTTAATGAAGTACCCGAGTTGCCTGGGAAGCTGTGCATGTTGGCCAGGCTGGGATGGGCAGGGGTGTGGCACAGGCTGCCCTGGGCAGGAGCAAGGAGGACTCAGCCCCATGTGTAGCCACGAGCTGGATACAATCAATTGGCAGGCACTCACCTATGGGCCAGAGCCAATCAGTTGGCAGGCCAGTTCAGCCTGCAGGCTGTATTTTGCCCACTCCTGTCTTAACCACTGGATTGTCTGCACTTTAGCACTTTAAGAGTCACAGCAACTGGTAGGGGGGCACAGGGGGGCACATGCCCCCCTCAATGGCGATGAGTAAGGGGTGCACGGGGGTGAGAGTGCTGGTGCACCTGCTGACTGGCCGCGCTCGCCGTTTAGGCGATGAGCAAGGGGGGCAGGCAGGAGCACCAGTGCCCCCCCTACCAGCGCTGGCCGGGGAGTGGAGTGCTGTTGCACTCCTGGAAGTGGCTACAGCCACTCCTGGAAGTGGTTGCAGTGATTGGCCATGGGGGACCCCCCCGGTCAGTGGGATCGGCCACAGGGAACCTCCCCCCCCAGTCAGCAAGATTGCTGGGGGGGGCATGTGCCCCCCCAAAGGCCACACCAGTCGCCCATACCCCCCTCCCTGAGATTGACCCCCAATTTGGCACTGCTCAGGACAGGGCTTTTTTTTGCCAAATGTTGAGAGGGGCACTAAGCTGCAGCACAGAAGTATAGGAGTGCATATGGGGCTTTTGTACCACGCCTGGGCCCGCCCACAAATTATGACCTCCCAGACTCAGGATGCACCAGTCACCCCTGTTAAGAGTGTTGTTAAGCACTCATTATGTAGCTCAAAGTTATGCTTCTCCAGGGCAGGATTATCTCTGATCTGTCTACCCAGCTCCTGTTCCCTTAAGGCAGAGCTTTCCAAACTTTTCATGTTGGTGACACACTTTTTAGACATGCTTCATTTTGTGACACAGTAATTCAGTTCCGGGGGAGGGGCCAAGGGAAGCAGATGTGAGTAAGGGAGCTCCGCAGTGCCCTTCCGCAAAATTTTCTGCATTTCACGCGACACACCTACACACTGCCGCCGACACATTAATGTGTCGCGGCACACAGTTTGGAAAGCTCTGCCTTAAGGTGTGGCCACTTCCCATAGATGTGCCATCCAAGCTGAAGTCCTCTAGTATCCCAGTATTTCTCACACCCCCACCAGCAGAGCAGGGATAGAAGCCTGTCCTGGCTCACCAGCCTTCTAGTGGTAACTCACAACTATAGCTCCTCATCCCATCACCACTCACCCAGCCTCTAGTGGCAAGTCATAGCTGGGCAGGTGGGGGACAGTCAGAGAAGGTTTCTGGACTAAGAGTGAAGAGTGCTGTCGCAGAGCACCTCGGTGCTCTGCTCCTAGGGAATAGAAACTGCCAGGTAGAGAGAGCCCTGGCAGGACATAACGAGCCCAGATGAGGGTTGCCAGGGTAACGGGCACAGCTGCGGGTTGCTGGGGCAACTAAGGAGAGCCAGCTGCCTGTAGGAGGCAGGGCCTGGCCCTTATAAAGCCCAGGGCTGAGACCAGGCTGGCAGTTCCCTGCCAGCAACCGGAGACTGATAAGCAGGGATTATTCCCCACTCCCCTCTGCCTTATGCAGACACCTCAGCATTAGCTAGCAGACCACATGCTGGCTACAGTCAGTGCTGTGGGAGATGATAAAGGCAGACAGACCTTTTGGAGCTAATCAACAGGTAGCTTAAGGTCCTTCCTTAGAAGAGCTGCTTAAGAACAGCTCCATTAGTTAATGGAGAGAGGCTTTGTTCTCTTAATGGGTTGATAAACACTGAGTTAGGGGTGATAAACATTCCCTGCTGGGTAGCTCAGGACATGGGAATAATAAGAGCATCCTGCCTGGGCCTGGCCACACCCTCTCAGCTCCCCTCTGTGGAAGTAAAGGAAACGCTGCTATAGCACTCCCTGGCTTCTAGTCTGAGCCACTGCAGGCATGTGCCTGCATTTCTGGAATGAAAATGGAATGTCTATCCACCTCCAAATCAGCTCAAGCTTTGCAAGTTAGACTAACCTGCAAAGATTGAATTAGTTCAGGCTCAAGCTTTTTGAATGTGGGTCCCTAGCCC